GTTTCAAATGAAAGGAGTTTGTTGCCTGATCACCCAGGGGGCAAAAGGGGAGCTGATATTTTGACATAGCTTTCTGCCATCCTGTGGGAAATTGCACCAGGGCTAAAGGTAGCAGAGGAAAAAGGCCCAGACTGTCAAGTTCCTTTCTAACAGTTCCTGCCAACAGATTGTACAACTGTCTGTTGGTCTGCACCAGGAATTATCCCATGCCCAAGCCCCTTAATCAGCATCTTCTCTGTCACCATTTTTTTTTTTAATGAGATGTTGTATTAGTTAACTTTTTCAGGACCATAATGAATTACCTGAGGCAGACTAACTTTATAAAGAAAAGAGGCTTATTTAGCTTATTTAGCAAGAGCAAGGTGCCGGTACTCKTTCAGTTCTGTTGGTATCTTTCTTGCCAGCAATCACTAGACAGTACGTGGAGTCACAAGCAGGACACAGGGAGCATGGCTGTCTGTGTCTGTATCATTGATCTCTCTCCTCCTTCTAGTAAAGTTTCCAGTATTCAATCATGGAGGATTCCACCCTAATGACCTTATCTAAGCTTAGTAACTTCCCGGAGGCCCAGTTCTGAACACCATCAGCGGATTATGTCTGTACCCTCTTAACAGTGTTACATGCCTTCAGTGATTGAACTCCTGCATAAATCTGGGGGAACAAACCAGATTGAAACCCTAGCAGATGTCACTCTCTTAACCACGGAGGCCCACGCTTCAGCAGCCTCTGGGGCTCAGAGTTCCTGATTTCCACAGATGGTGACCACATTGTAGATCTCCGCCAATGCAGAGACAACTCTAGCCCAGTTCCATTTTTCACCATGTTCCATTTCAGATGAAGACATCAAGGCCCAAAGAATTTGTGAGTTCTCTGAAACCATGCTGCTGGTACCCAGAGGAGAGCATGTTCAATCCAGGATCTTMGCATGGCTCTAGGCCTCTCCTCATGAAAGGATCTTTCCTGAAATATAGGCACCTGGTGACTCCCCACCCTCCTGAATGGTGCCTGGTGGCCTCCAGCTCTGCACAAGCTGTGACTTTTCATGACACGACACACATAGCACCTCACCCTGCTGCTCTCCAAGTGCCACCCTCGAATAATTTGACTGACTGTTATTTGCTGGAACGTTTCCTTGTATTCAGAAGCCACCACTCAACTATGCCCTTCCCTCACACCGAAGCCATGTACCAATCAAAGACCTACTGATTCCCCCTGGTCTTCTCAAGTGGAACCTTTGCACCTTTTGTCACTGGGTGGATCTCCCACGAAACCCTKGTGAATGAGGACGGAGTGAATCAGTACCGTCTTTCATCAGGACCCTTGGTCCCGACTGGAATAGCTTATGTGTGGGTTAGCCCCAGTCATTAAGGAAAGAATATTTTCACCCCTTCTTCTCCTCTTCTACCTTTCATCTCTCCACCTGTCCAGAACTTCCTGATTCTTAGCAGACAGAATTCAGAAAAATCATAGGTTGAGACTATGTCTTGGTCAGTTGGGAAGATGCAATGCAGTCTATGTATGTGTGGTGTGTGCATACCTACACGTGTGTGCATGCAATTTGTACTAACAGATTCAGGGTCATAAGTCAGGTTATGGGTTATAATTTCAATAGAGTGGCTATGTAGCATAAGTCAAGTATAAAGCACAAGAGACCGGCAGCTTTCTTGGATATTTTGGGTGGACTCTGAGATAATAAATCAAAACACAGGATGCTGTGCAAGATTCAAAGACTTGTCACTTCCAACTCCTTACACATGTGTGTGCTTTATAAAAATATTTACATTGAAATCTTGAAGGTATGGGTAGAACATTGTGTTCAGAGTAATAACCCTCATAATAAGAAAAATAGTACTTCAGGCTGGAAAGGAGTCTCAGTATTACTTTATTTTTGTGGTAACCGGAAGGATTGCCTGTGGTGACATGGCCTCCTAGAGAGGGTTCGGGAGAACTGGGGGCCCCCTCACACRCGCAGGGCCTTCCCCCTCTCATGTCTCAGCGTTCACTTGCACCTTGATCTTCGTTGGGCAATTTGCTTATCCCCACTAAGGCTCAGTGTCTTAGTTTAGGCTACTGGAAAAATCCCATCCACGGAGCAGCAAATAAACAAGAGAAACTTATTTTTCATTGTTCTGCAGACTAGAGGTCCAAGATCAAGGTGCTGGCAAATTCTGTGTCCGGTGAGAACCTGCTTCCTGGCTCACACTAGGCTCTTTCTAGCTGGGTCTTCACGTGGTGGCAAGAACAGCAGAGCTCCCTCGGGCCTCTTTTCTAAGGGCACTGATCCCATTTACGAGGGCTGTGCCCCCATGACCTTGTCACCCACCATCCCTTGCTTCCTAATACTGTCAACTTGGGGTTCAGGATTTCAACATCCGAGTTTGGGGGAATAAGAAGGATTCAGACTACACTACTCAATTTGCTCATCTGTAAAATGGGGGCAAAACAGTCACCCTTCAGTGTGATTGTGTGTGTGAGAGTCAGTGTGTGAAGGGCTTCCCACTGTCTTGCCCCATCTGTGCCAAGAAAGCACCATTTTTTCCCCCAGATGCTCTTAACTAACACTCCAGAGGGGAAAAGAGCAGTTTGATTCCATCCATTCCTTCCTCAGAGTAAGAAAGCAAGTAGGATTATTTTTGATTCTTGAAAGTAAATTGCCTCTTATGAGGAATTTGGTACTTCTCTGTTTTAAAACACTAAATTGTTTTAATAAAAACTATGAAAGAATACAAAGTGTTCTAATAGTCTAAACTTTGATTTTGTTAAAAACACATTTTTTTTCCTAAAGTATTAAATTTTAGGAGACCAAATATGGTATAGATGCCACAGTAAGGAGTGCCATATAGATATGAATCTTGGGCGTGTTATATTTGACTGACATTGCACATGTGCTACAATCAACCTCACTGATATCATTTTTTTCTTTTGCTCCCCCTCCCCAACGCCATTTTGTATGTGTGTGTGTGTTGGGGATTGAACCCAGAGCTTTGAGCACACATTGATTTCTTTTTAAGGGAAAATTGTTTTATYCCCAAAAAATGTTTTGGGGATAAAATTGTTCACATAAATACGTTCTGCTTTTTTGTGTGAATAGTTAGGAAGTGTAATATTATTAATAAGCTAATTTGAAAGATTGAGAGAAAATGCTTTAAAACTAGATTAAATGATAAGGCTAATATTTGCCATGAACTTGGTGGTTATTCATCAGTAGATGAAGAATAAAAATAAGGGAATATATTTATTTGGATTTTAAAAAAAATTTTTGTTTTACTGAAATTATTGGGAAGGAGGATACTAAAAATGTGAGAATTCCATCAGATGAAAAACCCAGAATCAGCTACACTTGTCCAGGAAATCAAGAATTTGCAAATATTTAGGTAGACTTCTTACACATCATTCCCAGTCTGAAATTTCCTTTGTCTCCCCAGTCCTAACTCATACCCCAGTTTAGTAATCCTGCAAGAATCCCCCATGGYTCTAAGCAGATGATGGGACCCCAGCTTGCTGTGATACAGTGACAGCATGTACCTRAGAGATTTGGCAGTACCCGAGACTAAACATTAATTTTAGTTCAGATGGCAGGGTGGGAAAGACCCTTTAAATTCAAAAGAAGTAACAGATTAGGTGAAAATGCTTTTAAATGCAAAGAACAATAAAAGGATCAGTATTCAGAATATGTAAAGAATATTTACAAATCAGCAAGAAAAAATACAGCAAAGTATAGTAACCTCACTTGCATTCAAAAAATACAACATAGAAAAAAAATCAGATTGGCATAATTGAAAAATTTGATAATAGGTAGTGTTGATTAAGGTATAGGAAAATAGTTTCTCTTCTGTCAGAGTATAAGGTGACTTAGTCATTTAAAAATGCATTTATTACAGGGGGGCTGAAGATGTGGTTCAGTTGGCAAAAAGCTCACCTATCATGTGTGAGAGCCTGGGTTCAGGCCTTGCCCCTCAAATAACTTGTCACTGTAAGAAATGTGTATATTTTAGGGCCCAGCTATTTAATTTCTCCATGTCAGCTTTGAAAAAGCTCTTGTGTTTAACACACAGTGAGGCATGCACATGTGTATGCAGTGCAGCATCACTTAAAATCATGAGAATTGAAATGCAACTCAGTGCCCAGCAAGGCAGGAGTGGCCAAGTAAACCATGGTGCATCCAGGACATGTAAAACTATCAGCAGTTATATGGAATGAGCTAGAACTGGGTGTGTTGGGGAAGAAAAGGATCTCCATGAGAGGCCGAGAAAACAAGTTGTGAAATAGTCTATAAGGTGCGATGTGTCACCATTCATTTAAAAGGCAAAGGAGGGAAGAAGAGAGGGAGAGGAGGGACAGAGGAAGGAAGAAGGACAGAAGGATAGAAAAGAAGAAAATAATACCAGAGACTTTCTATAGTAGTGGCTTTCAATATCTTTTGGAAATAACCCTCAATAAGATATACCCGTCATGTCTTGATGGAGTGGACCCTTACTACATGAGATGTACTCTGAAATTGTTCTATCCTCTTCTAATTTGCTTCATTCCATTTGTCAAATGGAATGAAGCGAATTACAACACATTAAATTGATTTCAGGACTCAACCATAGTTTGGAAAGTAGTGTTCTGGAGATACACACACACACACACACACACACACACACACACACACACACACAAATGGATAGGAAAAGACCAAAAGGCAATACACCAAGTTGATATTAGGGATTATCTGGGTAGGTGTGGGAGTGTGGGGTGGTTTCTAGGGAGCCTGAGCATTATTTGTAATACTTATATTTTGATCATTTGCTGTTTTATAAGGAACAAACATAATTAAACATCTGAGATTTAGTTTTTTGAATAAGCCATCAAAACTACTTTTGAAAGTCAAGAATTTACTGGGATTAAGAAGGTAGTGGTTAAAAGGTCTTAAGGGAAATAATTTTCAAGTTAATTTGCATAATTGATCAGTTCCCAAAGTAGGCAACCTAGCTAACTCTCTCTGTTTTTGTATTTAGGGCCACAGATGAGCACATACTTGTGGCAAGGTAGAGTCAAACCTGTGTGATATCCCACCCCAAATGTCATCACAAGCCTAAGAGCTCTCTGCCAATGCCGTGAGATTTTAACTTGTTACCTATGGCTGTCATGTCTACCAATAAAAAATACAAAGTAGTCAATGTGAAATGCTAAAAACCCAAGCACACACCCCCCCCCCACCGCCGCCCCCTGCCATTTTCAGAAAATGCAGAGTTAATGTTTCTGTAGTAGCATCAGCTTGGCCACATCACCTGGTCTCCATTTTTTGCTATGGATCTGAACAAAGAAAGGGTTGCATTCTGAGCATTGTTCCTGCAAGGACTTTCACTGTAGAAAATGTGGCAGGTGTACACTTGGCCATCTCTACAAGCTGGAGCAGACAACTCCCATTTTCTATTTTACAGTTACATTAGCGCTTTCTGATTTACCTTCATATATTTACCCTAAGGGTAACTTATTAAACCTCATTTTAATGATCAAATAATTAATGCTTAAAAAGAGTTAGAGTATTCAGGGGAGATAAATTCTTTAACTTCCAAATATTTAAGCAAGATGTTGACTGCAGATGACATAGAATCTGATTATTTCTTGTGCTAATATTTCAACTAAAGATACCTAGTAAAGAGGATGTTTATATTTTATTCTTTTATATGTCTTAAATATAAATTTTAATATGCTTATAATAACACATGCTAACTCTTAAACAACTATACTACATTTTTCTCTTTAAATGTTTTGAAAACAAAGGATTTATGGCAAATATGCAAACTTTCTCAGAAAGCACTTCTATAAGAATCATTTTGAAAAAAATCTTAGTGATTGATAAAGCAGTGATTATATTTAACTTTAATTTCATATAGGTTTGATGTTGTATGGAAAGAAGAGAAATTTTTTTAAAGAGGGAATTATTAATGGTTATAGAAAACATGCTGAAAGCTAAGGGCAATGAGAGAAGGATATCTTAAGGCACATATCTGAAGTCCCTTTTCCATGTCCTCCCATGGGAAGTTAGAGGTAAGAGGAGGCCAAGTTGGTCTGGTGGCCATCATAGGGATCAAGGTCATCCCTTTAAATAGTTTGATATCAGACTAACAGGTGTCAAGTTGTGTATGAGTGGCTGATATAGCTTTATAAGGAACAGTCAGGAAAAATTATAAATGTGCCCAGCTTAGGCCTAGGATGAAATTCAGGTGAAAATTATAATTCATAATAACCAAGGATTTAAAAAGTACTTTATTCTAGCTAAGAGAAGTTTTGTTTCTCTGTAACATCGTCTATTTGGTGTTTGTGTTTATTAGTTGGAACAAAATTGGTTTTAAAATATTTTATGGAGGGTATAATGAATTTAAAATTTAAAATCGTTATAGCCACTTAAGTATGTCTGAAGCTGGGCTTTTCAGTGGCCACAGAATTCAAAGCACCACTTCCTCCTTGCTGACACTGCAGGAGAAATATCCAATAGACCAATTGGTCTTGCAAATGACAGGTACAGCCATCATGTTACTTAGAAGCTTGAGAAGTAAAGGGAAGGAATTGTTTATTCCAAACCATAAAATATTACAGGGTTTCTTCATATTGTCTCATTTATAAGGTGAGGTCTTTCCTTTAAATTTTTTTTTCAGAAAAGTATCCCATTTTTTACTAATATCATCTTTGAAAGAGAACTTGACTAACTGTGGAATTTTTCACCCACAGCATCTGCAGGAATTGCTGTGTCCCAGAGGAAGGTGCGTCAGATCAGTGATCCCATCCAGCAAATACTAATCCAGCTGCACAAAGTCATCTATATCACACAGGTCAGTGTTCCAGCCTTCTATTTCTTTTCCATCTGAAACACAAGTTTGGTGCTAATACCGCTGAAGAACTGCCTTGTAGGACTTCCAGGTGAGTGAACACTTGTTTTTATCTCCTCCCAGGACACACGTGTAGGGAGACTTCTTGGCAACCAAGCTGGGAGGGCAACAGGGTGAAAAAGCAAGTAGGTCAGGGTTTCCCTGTGACTTCAGTCTGCTCAGCCAGAAGCAGACTTCCACACAAATGGCCCTTCCTTGTGTGAGCTGGGACAGCGGGGGTGGGGGGTGGGGGAAGTGGGGGGGTGGGGGGGTCGGGTAATGGGAATAGAGCTGGGCTTTACCACAGGAAATAGTGGTCCCACCACCATTCTTAATCTTGAGGATGCTCGGTTGACACCAGGAAGGCTCAGAAATATGAAAGCCAAAAACCACACAAAATCCAGGATTATTAAGATTTTCTATTTGTAAATCTCAGAGACTTAGGCACTGAGGAAAAAGAATCAGTGTTGAAAAGTATCTATAAATGATGGACAGAAACCTGTCTAGWGAAAACAACTTAAAATATTCATTAAGAACTGTAACCATTTGGACAAGAAAGTCAGTATTATGTTGAAGTTTATGACTGTATGTTATAGGTAGCTTATTGATATCATTGCTCACTGGACATGTGATGACTAATTGCCTACCATGAGCCAAACACAATTCCAGGTATTTGGATCTATCAGTGACCAAAGCATAAACATTTCCTCACTGTAAGATTCAAAGATCCAGGCAGGATCTAGTGTGCACCAGTGACTCAGGAGAAGACCAGCCTCAAAAAAAGAACTGGGTATGGAACTTGGTGGTGAAGCACCCCTGGGTTCAATCCCCAGTACCAAATAAATAAAGAAAGAAATAAGATTCAAAGATTCTGCCTCGGGTTGCTGTCAGTAGCCAACTTTGGCAATTCCAATTTTTCATTCAAGTCCTGCAGAGAAATATCTAAAGATCAGTGGACCAGCTGGGATCATTATAAGTGCAAACTTGAGCTGATATTTCATTTATCACCTGAATACCCTTCCTGCCTGAAAAAAAGATAAAAACAAAACAAAGCAAAATACTTTTTGATTGGTACAACACAGTAGCATTTTAAGACTCTAGGAATTTGCATCGGTTTTTAAACAGTGTCTATTATTCCCAGAAAACCTGTGCCTCCTTTTCCCCCAGTGTACAATCACTRCAGTAAATGGCTGCAGATATCTGTGGGAAGGCTTGGAGGAAATGATATAGTATGTTTCAGGACCCGCCTCCTCATGGCATCCCAGCTTCCGTATGATCCAAGGGGCTCTGGGCCCTTTAGTTGACTTAGGTCTGGAAACTATATTGGAAACTATAACAGTGGCAATGGCAACTCCGGTCAGGATCTTGTCTGCCAGATCTGGAGCTTCTCTTCTGTTTCTTGGGCTCAGAAATGTCCTAGTAGGCTGACTACTAATTTTCTTCCCAGGAACACCCTAGTTAATTAATTACCATCAAAGATCTCTCTAACTAACAGAATGTTGCCGCTACCTTGTCATGAACGCTCACCACTTGTCACATGCTTTCAAATGGCCTCTGCCCATTGGATACATTGGAATACTGTGTCCTTCAGTGTCATAGCTGGCTTACAAAGGAGAGCAACCCTGGAGCCTTCTAAGATGCTCCCCTCTCTGAGTATTTCTCAGTGCCTTACTGAAAGAAGAGCCTTTTGGGTATTCTGTCTGAAAGCGGTGGGGGAGTGGACGTGCAGATCACATCTAGTAAATCCACTGCAATGTTCCTGTTCCTCTGAGCCTTTGGATTCCCTCCTCCACGTGCCAGAGAAGTTCTGGCACTTTACCATCATGAAACACAGGCCACCACTGAAAATCAGTTTCAGTCCACCAAATAGTTAAGCTGCACCTCCATCTGCTGAACTAACACATTAAATCTCTACTGTGTGCACCCACATTGATGAATTCAGTCTGGTCTTATGCTATATTTTATCCTTCCTGGCCTAACATCCTTAGAATCCACTTCYGCACATGTTCTCTGGCTGGTTGCTAATATATAGTAGCAAAATCTTGCAATTCTTTTCAAGGATAGGTTATTTCCTCCAGAGTGGTGGTGGATACTAATTCCCCTAGATCATAGTAAGATACRTCTCTGGCTATGGATTTGGTCTTCATTGTTGTGGATCTTACAAAGAATGAGTATTTCTTTTAAAGACATCTGTTCTCATTGATTTTATCATCCAGTTTTCAAGCAAAGGGAGGCTTGTTTTCTTAGACACAGAGCAACAAGCTCCTTTCRTTAACAATGAAGTCCCAGAGTGACTTGGGTTTTAAGATTGTCAGCATGATCTGGGCTCAGCGAGATATCCCTATTCTAATTTTTAGTATTCTTTTCTTTTTTTTCTGACATTCACATGAAAAACTTGATGAAGTGTGAATTAAACTGACATTGTAATTTATCAGCCTTCCCAATTAAATTCAGCATTTGATTATCAGCCATATCAGTGCTTTGGCAGCACAAAATAACAGGTTATTTTGGAGCTGTCATGGAATCTTCCTGGGTCTCAGATCATGACTTGAACAGACAGTTAAAAGACTCACACTTGTTACTTTATCAGTGCTCCAGTGCACTCAAAAAAGTCCATTCCATACCACAGTCCTTGTGGTCTTTCTTGTTGCCTGACAGTCAAGTGCAGTGGCCATTTGGGCTTTAGTCAGCATTTCATCGAGGTGATGAGCTGATCAGTTGTGGTGCCACTAAATGAAATAATTGTCCTGTTGGTGACAAACCAACCAACCAAATTCGGCACCGATCCAAGGACACAATCGTACCACTCCTCAAATCCCATCTTTGGGGTCAAGCTCCTTGAACATTCCTGGAACCTTTATCTGGTATCAGTGAAGGTCCAGTCAGAAACCACACAATTATGTTAGTCAGCTTTCCCTCACTGTCACAAATACCCAAGATAATCAACTGATAAAGAGAAAAGTTTTAGGGGTTCATTGTGGCTCACCAGTTTTGAGATTCCAGTCCATGATCAGTTGGCCCTTGACAGGCCTGTGTCAAGGCAGTATATCATGGTAAAAGAACATGGTGGTGCAAATCCTCTCACCTTGTGTCTGAAGAGTAAGAGAGAGGAAAAGGAAGGTGCTGGGGTCTGACTGTCTCCTTCAAGTGCACGTCTTCAATGACCTGAAGTCCTCCCATTAGGCCCCGCCTATTAAAGTTTCTGCCACCTCAGTTGTGCCTCCCTGGAATCATGCTGTGAACACCTGGGCCCTTGGGGGACATTCTAGATTCAAACCACAATAGTAATTTCAACAAGGAATGTTTAATATAATAAATTATTAACTATAACAGAATTTTATCTACTAAGGATGAGGAAAGAAATCCAAAGCATATAGGAATAGCAGATAGAGAAGTCCTAAGCTCTAGGACTGAGGCAGAGCACCTAATAAGGAAACAAATATGAACACCGCTTCCTCTGGATTGAGGTCCAGACCTCACTGGAAAGGTCAGAGAAATTTGCAAAAGTGTCATGCTGGGGACAGTTGATCAGAGGCCTCTCTCTGGGGACCAGAGTAAGACATCACATGAGGTACCATGCTATGGAAGTTGTTGGGAAATCAGCACTGGATGGTGTTGGTATATACTCTCCACGGAATCAGGGGAGACTACCCAGAAGTAGGTGTTATTTCATAGAAGTCTCTGGAAAGCCACCTACAGTCAGTGCTACTGAATGTGACTTGGGGTGACCCCTTACCACTGGGGTGTCACCGTGTACCACTGGAGCAAGGCAACAGCATCGCTGGACCAGAAAGATGAGCTCCATCCTCCTTCAGGGTCCTTCTAGGGGCTTCCTATGATCAAGGTTGGCATCCAGACAGCTGGTGAAGGAGAGCTGTGTTGGTTTCACATTCAGGTCAGTCAAGGGCGGACTTGGAGCCCACAGGCACTGATCAGTGGCACCCTTAAACTGGGGACCAGGCAAGTAACTCTTTGGCACCACCCACACCCCCTCTGATTTCTGCTTGTTCTCCCTCCCTCTGCTCTCTGCCCCTAGACTGAGGAGCCTCTTCCATGCGTCGGGTTGAGCAGTCTGGTTCTTATGTCAAATTTTGTCCCAAATCTATTGTTCTTTTTGGTCACCCTGATGTCTGCTTTTTTAGATGCAAAAGCCAAAATTGATTACTTTTCCCTCTTTTTTTCTGCCATCCTCTTTCTTAGGCAACCACACAAACCTTTGCAAGTAAATGAAAGGGGGTGAAGGAGTACAAGGAAATATGTGTGTATGGGGAGGAGGGAAGCCTGGTTAATAAATAAAAACTGTAATCTGCTCTCTCTTATAAACTATTGTATTAAAAATGCATCTCCATTTAACCATTGATATGGAAACATGGGAGACTATTCTTAACTCTAGTATTATAGAAATAGTTTAAATAACTTTTCAGTTACCTCAACTAATATCTATTAAATTCAGAGAAATATCCTTTGAAATTTAAGTACAGCTTTCATATGCCTGTCTCAGTAATTTTGATGTAAAAAAGGAAAAAAGTTTTTAACGGGGTATATTCCATTTCTTTATTGAATTTCAAAGTATTTTTAAAGCAAGAATAAAACTATTGTAAATATCTGATTATTATGCTTTTAAACTGCCAGTGTGACAAATGAGTTCCCATTTTTTTTTTTTTTTTGGCAGAATGGCTTTCCTTACTCCAAGTGAAGGTATAACTATCATGGTTTTTCAAATGTGTTTCAGAATGCTGGAAAGTTCCTGACATTGCACATAGTAAGCAATGATTCCCCTCTGGGGAACTTTAACCTACAGCGCTAAACAAAGTCGATGCTTTTGACACAAAGAAAAAAATACAGGCCTAATCATTATTCTAGGGTATGTGATGTAAGTTAGAGAGAGACCAAGTCAGTTTTCTCTTTCTGCTAATTGCAAAGGAAACTTGGAAAAAGCAAGGCTGAATTGAGAAACGAAYCAACCAACCAAACAAACCCTTCTTTCTCTCATGTTTATGTACTTCAGCTTGGTGGCTGCCCTGACCTGCGGGCCACATACTTCCTGAAAACCAAAAGATGAACTTTCAGGGCAGACTTCTTGCCTTTGGCTGGTGGTGGCCTTTCCTGTCCGGTTGCCATGGAGACAGACCTGTGAAAATCACTTAAAAGCAACTATTTTATAAGGCAGGATGTTCAAAAATCCTTACTCTGCCTTCAGTGATTTGACATCTGTTTCCTTCAAAACTAAAATGGTAATCTTAAGACCAGGAAGCTAAGAATGAAATCTGTGGGTTCGTTTTCATTGCCGGAAACCAAAATCGAATCTTTGGCCTATAAGGTGACTACAAGTACACAGGTGACCTTTTAGTATGAGTTTTTATGTGTTATTGCTTAGGTAAGAGCTGCACAGCCAAATTGAGGCTGGAGTTTAAGTCTGTTCTGTGTTTTTGATTGTCTTCTTAAATAAATGTGTCGAAAAAAATCTGCATTTATCAACTTTTAAAAAATTAAACATCTATCTCCAAGAGACCAGGCAGACAGTTCTGGTTGCAGATCTTCATGACTGCTCATCTTAACAGACACAATCATTACTAACAGGAAAAAAAAAATGCACAGCAATGTGCTGTCCTGAAATGAAAATGATCTTACTGGCTGTCATCAGGGAAACATGTAGTTTTTTTTAATTAAGGATTTTTTTTTTAGTTATAGATAGACACAATACCTTTATTTTATTTTATTTTATTTTAATGTGATGCTAAGAATCCAACCCAGTGCCTCTCACATGCTAGGTGAGCGCTGTACCACTGAGCCACAACCCTGGCCCCTCGTGCAGTGTTTTGTAGCAAATGATGGACAAGAATTTAACCATTCATACTCACTCACCTGGATCACCTGCTTACTAATGGCAAGGTGACAGAGATTAACCAGAACAGGATATTTAGGGTAAATCTGTGTTACTCAAACCAACACATGTTTTCAGAGTCTGTAAATTCTAAGAGAAGTGTTACATTTTTGTGTGTGTGTTTGGATGATCGTCTTTGAATATCTCATCTAGCATTTAGGAAAATTTCCTCTTAAGCAATAACATGTCAAAATAACTTTTTCARAAATAGAATCAGATAGTGGTTTAGGTAACTATTTATCAGATGGAGCCCTATGGACTGCTAGTGGTCTGCTGATGTATTCTTGGACAGAGAATTTGGTTCTTTAGAAAGAATATATACATTATACACGTTTGAAAAAACCTACTAGAAAATGTACAGGTCAGATTTCATAATTTTTCTTTTGTTACCTTGTAAGGTGTAGTAAAGCAAACAAAATATAAGCTGTCAAATCTTTGGCTTTTGAGAAAGTCATTATGTTTTCTAGAATTAGTTTCTTTGCTCATAAAATGGGAGGTCTTCTGGGATTACCATGAGCCTTGAAGGAAATAAAGTATATGAAAATATTAATAAACTATAAAGTGCTGTCCTGCAGTGACTAGTATGTTGGTGTTTGCTTTAGGGTAGTGATTGTTGCTAGAAGACTTACTACTTCAGAAAGGGTATTGCATGTTATATAAGKTCTTTAAGTTCTGATTTCCTCGCCCGTAAAATAAGTGCTGCTTTATGAGTTTGTTGTGGGTAAAAAGTATGATCATGCCCATAAAAGAGTGATCATGGTGCCTAGCACATATGAATCATAGGTATTGATTTTCTATTATTGGTATGATAGTTCTTGTGCATAATGTATCATTATACTCACATCATCTGCAGTTCAGCTAAGCATGAGTCATCATTCTAAAATTTAAAATTCTTCCATAAAAACTTGAACAATGAGATGCTGTCTATGGGGATCATTATTCCAATAAGATACAATAGCTTTCTAATACTTCCCAGTGTATGAATCTTTAAGTTGACTGAATGTTAGCTCATTTGAATGAGTTTTATGCAATTTATGCAGGTCATCTAGAGCAGTAAATGCAATTAGTTCTAAGTTAAATAGAGGCTTATCAAGTTAAATAAACAGCAAGATTTTTTCAGAGTATCTGAATGAATTCGATACTGATAGCTGCCAGAGTACTGGGCTGAGGGTCCTTTGAAGGAACCATGAGCCCACCAGGTGCTTCACACCTTCAAGAGTTTGTTGTACAGACAGTACTTGCTGCCTTTCCCTTGGACAGCTGTGCTGCAATCACACTGGGCCACAGACATATAGTCCTGGGCCGACACTGCCCTCTGGTGTTGGATTCAGTGAGGTGGCAACTTCTGGTGTGCAACMATAGAGAATCCTCCAAACCCCATGTCTCTCCAGGGACTTTTCCCATCCCCTCCCTGCTCAACCCAAACCTTCGCCAGGAAGGTGTGTGTGTGCCTCTCCCCTTCATTGTCTGTTCCTATTGTACATTAAATCCATTCTTCTTTTGCTTTTCTTTCCTGCACACATCTATCTTTTATGCTCATTTCCATTGTCTGTCTTCCCACTATTTGCTCCTTAATGCTCAGAAATATCACTCCTTTATCTTACATGATTTCCCCCTTCCATCTCATGTGAAAGGACCGTAATAATTATGACCATTTGCTGCGGGTATGGGGAGGAATCAAGTTGGGATCAAGGGAAGAGATAGCTATAATAGTGACATCAAAAGAGATCAGTGAAGTCTTAGTGCTGCCAGATGATTAAATCCTTCAAAGCACTCAGAAGGGCTCAGTATCTCCAGAATAATCCATCCCCCCCCCCAGTTAAGCCTACTTTAGCTCAAGCACAAGGATTACAGGTACATTTAAAAGCATTTTGGGGGGGTCTGGGGATGTAGCTCAGTGGTAGAGTGCTTGCTAGTATCTCTCTCTCTCTCTCTCTCTCTCTCTCTCTCTCTCCCCTCCCTCCCCCTCCCCCCCCAGTCTTTCCAGTTGCCCTGTGTTTCTATGTTGTGTAACTATAAAACTTCATAACTGGTCCTGCATTGTATCAGGTTTGGGATCATGAACAATTGTTCCTTGGCTACAAAATCAGTCATCACAAACCCCAAAGACCCTATGCTTTGCTCTTCTATTACTTTTTACATGAATTGGAGTGAATAGATGTTCTTTGTGTTATTCAGAATAGGGTAAGTTGTATGCCGCTAAACAGTACTCCCTCAAATCACCATAGAAGGTGATTTCTCACTCAGGCTGACCGTGTCGAGGCCATGCCATGTAGAAGAGGTGGACTCTGGGCTGCAGTAGGGGAGGACAGAGATGGAGGGAGCACCCTGCTTGTGTAAAGGAGGAGCATCCCTTCACCCTTAGAGTGATACATACCATCTTATTGGCCAAAGATAGCCACGTGACACCAACTGGAACTGGAAGGAAACCCAGAAAATCCCAACTGTCTCTCCATGTCATTCTTTCATTTGATCTAAGCTTTTACTTATATCCTAGGTCTCTTCCCATCGAGCTATCTGTTTTCTTATCTGTTCCTCTTCCCCTTTCAAGATCTCCCAATAAACAAAATGGAACACTTTGTCAACCCTGAGACTGCTTATAATGCTGACCCTGGTTCTTTTCTGTTATCCGTCTCCCAGACTTCACTTCATCCCTCTGCGCTTCTTGGGATCTTTAACTTCCTGTGTAAATCCAACCTGCCAAGCACTACAAATCTTTTTTTTTTTTAATTCCCTGTTTTCATCTAGTTACCATATTTTCTAAGATTCCACAATGACTTTCTACATATGTGTTAAGTCTCACTCATCCTGGCCGGGCCCTAATATATACTAATCTGTTTTGTCTGTCTTCTGAATACAAGCAGTTCCTAAAATCCAATCTCTCTACAGCTGAATTTTCAGGGGCACTCCCAGGCAGGTGACTGCGAACTGTGGCAGACATGCATTTTCTGGTCTAAAGTATCAGATTCTTTATGACAAGGGCCACTGCCAGAGTGTTTACCCATGGGTGGTTCTGAGTGTGCTATATATACCTGTGCTATACCCACCTAGACATTATCAAATGTACCCTACTTTGTCAAGGCTGTTCTTTACAAAATTCAATATGTGTGTAATTAGTGAATGGTTTAGTTGTTATATGAAAAGTAATATCAATGAGTATAACAATGATAAGATAAATGGAAGCAGACCTTTTGAAAAGCAGCGATTTATTTTACTACTTTGATGTCATAAGATTAAAAAAATCATAGCACAGAGTCGTACTAATTTGGAATAAAATTTAAACGATTGTTTAGCCCCCTTGGCTGCACATTGTTCCATCGGCCCCCTGTAAATGCTGCCTGAGGTCAGCAATGCAGTGTTGAGTATTTGGTTTTAATGATTATTTTCTGATTTCCTACAGCTTCCTCCGGCTTTGCACCACAATTTGAAAAGAAGAGTTATAGAGAGATTCAAGAAATCCCTCTTCAGCCAGCAGAGTAACCCTTGTAATTTGAAATCTGAAATTAAAAAGGTATGGTATTCTATATATAGGAATTCTTTGGCTGATAAAACACATCAGTTACATCTTATTCTTCCTTTACTTTGTGCTTTGAACTCTATCCTCTATTAAAGGGTTTTATCACTGCTTAAAATACCAAATCCAGTGTAAGTCTTAGCCTCTCCCAAAGGTGAGAGYCTTTGTTTCTTTAGCCATTATTTTCAGATGCTAATAGAGTTCTTTCAGCATTATTATGTATTTTCCTAAGAATAAATGTTATTATTTATTTATTTGTGGTGCTGGGGGTTGAACCCAGGGCCTTGTGCATCTGAGACACACACTCTATGAATTGAGCTATATATCCCCAGCCCAAGAATAAATGTTATTATACATCTAACTTAATGTGTGTATATTTCACATATTTTAGAAGATTCCAACCCAATATTTTATTAGAAGGAGTCTACAGGGGACCCCCAAGTTGAACTTTGCACTTTTAAAAAGGCAGTTGATGCTCTGAGACCATGATTTTGATGATTTGTGAGAGGGCTACATGAACTATTTCTAATGTTGTTTTTTTTCCCATCTTCAGCAATCTCCTAAACTTGAGGTGCTAAAAAATATTTTTATTCATACATTCACATTTAGTGACTAAATCACTAAATTAACTATTGGTGATTGTTTAATTGTTTATTCTCTCATTAGCACAACTTGGTGGCAGTAAATCCCTCTGTCTTAGAAGTAGCCATAAACTCTGTTTTCCTGTCCCCGAAAGGCCCAAAACACAGGTCATTCAGCAAACCCAGGTAAAGATGCTTGGTCCCCTTTCAATTTTATATTTAAAAATTTCTTTCTTTCTTTCTTTTTTTTTTTTTTAACATTGTTAACCTTGGCATGGACATACCACCAATGAACTTTCCCTTTGACTTTCTATAATGTATCTGGTCTTAAACATGGACTTAGGAATTATTCAGGGAATATGATAGGCTCTTCAATAAGAAAGGCTGATAGAACATTTGCTCAGCTGCCTTCCATCTTCCATGCTTGCACCATTAGTACCTCCACACACTAAAAGGAGATGGGGAGGGTACTCAGGTTGTAGGCAAACAAAGCACAAACCCTGTCTCATCAGAGATTAGAGAGCGAGATTTCTTTCATGCATTGTGTTGGCAAATAAGGCCAAGAAACGAAACCAGAGGAGATGGAAACAGAGACAGAGACCTCCCATATTTATTTAATGATACTTACACTCTGTATCCTGAAGACTAGTAAATATATTTTTTAAAGACAGAAGCTCATATTTCCCACAAAAAGATTACCTGTTGCTTGGTTTCTCTATTCTTATTAAAGTGATATTCCCAATAATCCATTTTGTACATAAACTTATTTTACCAGAAATCCTAGTTTTAAAGGTGAAAGCATCTACTACAAACTGATATACACAAAAGTGGCTCTGACTCTTCCTTACTCAGTGATTTYCCAACAGTGTGTGTGTGTCCTTAAAGCAAATCACTTTCCTTTTTTATTACTCAGACTTCTGGTTCTGCATCCTTGCCTTGCTGTCTTTCTCTCTTCCCCTGAAGGCAAGGAGATTTCTTTTTGTTAAATTGCACCCTCCCCCTGCAGACCTGCGCTTTCCTCCTCTGCACCACGGTAGCATCTCTTACTAGTGATCTTAGTTTCTCTCCTTTCTGGTCTAGGGAKGAAAAAAATGGGGATTAACAGGATGGTAGAGGTGTCCTGCAGGGATAGATATATCCTTATTTTCATCTTCATTTAAAAGAAGATGCAATTCTCCTGTGAAGATCAAGGGGTCCCCTTCTCTGATTCTATAAGCTCATGGAAGTCTATGGGACACCCTGTGTGGACCTTTGGGCTGGGAAAGAGGAATGCTCAGCTCCATCCAGGGCTTTGTCACAATCTACTAATAAGTAGGTTGTGTCTACTTATTAGAAGCTCTATAGGCTCCCAGGCTGGAGCCATAATGCTTAGAGCATTATGGTGTATGCCTTCTTGCTCTGTCCTTGCAGAGGCAGCCTTGACTCCTGTGTGTTAAGGAAACCTTGCCCAGATGTTGAAATCCTTCCTGTTCTTCACCACTGAACTGAGAAGTCAGCTCCTCCATAAAGGCTTCCCTTAATTTTTCCTGTTCAGGGTTAATCTCCCCTTTCTCTATGACTGGATCACTTTTTTACTCTTATGTTTAAAGTATTTTTTCTTCTGACTTACAGTTCTGTTTTCCCCACAGGCAGTGTTTCTGATCCATTTTGAAGGGTTTTATGTAGTGGCTGGCATGTAGCAGGTCCTTGATGTATAATTATCGATTATAGAATGTATCATTTATGTATTCTGTATGAGATACTCTCCATATACTCAATTCTTGATTAAAATATATAATGATGTAACATATTCCTATATTTCCATATGAATGTTGAAAGATCTCCAGCCCCCATCTAAATCTAAGTGAGAAAATTGTGAGCTGTTTCCCGCCTTTCTGGTATAATCTTTTGCTTGCAATAATTTTTCTCCAGAAGTGGATTTCTCACTCTGTGTATGGTCCTAAAGGATTGGCCAATTAGCCTTTGACTGATACAGTCGCCCCACAACAGGGCTGCACATAAAATACCCTTGATTCTCCTCTCTCTCTCTCTCTCTCTCTCTCTTTCTCTCTCTCTCTCTTCCTGAAACCAGAGACCCTATGTCTCCAGGTTGAGAGCAAAATTAGGGCTGATTGTGTCTACTTATTAGTGGCCTAAGACACAGCAGGATATATAGAGAAGTCAAATACTGATGAGCCCTTTCCTAGGGAATTAAGGTCCTTATTTATAACTCACCTAAGGTGGTCTTCAGTACAGCCTGCTCAGTCTTGCCTGGAACTGCAGGGACAATAAGGCAACCGAGTGTGACTATATCAATGTCTTTGGGAACCTGAGATTTTCATCATGGGAAAAAGAAGAAACAGAAGCAAGAGGTCAATTCAAATTAGCACTGAGGAATATAAATTCATGACAAATCTTTAAAAAAATACACATTTTCTAATACCTAAACTAAAATGGTTTAGGAACTAACCAAGCAGCAGTGAGTTCCTCTGTCTACCCACGGTTCCTTGGAGATAGCTGATGGGCTTGAAGCAGCAAGGACACAGGACTAGGTTGGAATATCTTGACATAGCATGTGCGTCATCGAGGACAGCTGAGGGCATAACCTGCAAAGGCCCCCACTGCCTATCTGTGGGATAATTGGAGTACCCATGAGAGTAAGAACCAAAATGGATAATTGAAAGCATTAAATAATGTTTAAATCCAAGTGTTCATGATGATACTGAAGAAAATCTCTCATTGGTTACTTCTCAAGAATACTCAGTTCATTATTTTTAAAATTGTTTGCAAATGTATTCTGTCTGTCCTTTATTAACTCTATCTTGGGGTAACTAAATGGTTGGTGAGGGGAAGTTTCTCATTATGGAAGGACTTACTAATAATTGCCAAAGAAGTAAAGAATGTTATAGTTATGCAGCCCCTGGTGAAAGAGTGGATCTAGATATGATCCTCCAATGGCTGCTAACATCACAAGAACAGGGACAATCTGGTGTGCTATGCCCCCTGATGGAAATGAACAACACTAAGTCTTCTTCTTGCTAAAAGCTTGCTTCTACATCTGACCAAGCCTCTAAATACAAAATCACCAGACTTTGTATAGTTAGAGCCCTCAGATCAATGTGGTTGCCACCTGGTTTTGCTAAATGTTTTATTTACACAATCCTATGCATTCACTTATATATTGTCTATGGCTACTTTTGCATTACAGGCAGAATAGTGTAGCTGAGACAGAGGCCATATGGCCTCTAAAGCCAAAACCTTTACTATCTAACTGTTTTAAGAAAATTGTTTGCCAATCCCTGCTCTGGATCAAGCTTACCACTTGCAGCAAATTCAGGAGAGAAAGAAAACATATTAATTGATAGAATGAGGATAATTGTGGGATAATTGGAGTATCAGAGTAATTGGAGTAAAACCCATACATGGAAATTCTGCAGGAAAACTGACCTATTTTTTTTTCAATAAATATATTGTTAGGAGGAGTGGAGAAAGAGAAAGGAAGAGAAAAGGAGGGGAGAGAAGAGAAAGGAAGAGAGGGATTGCTTATAAACTTTAAAACATTTTTAGGGAAGATATCAACCACTTGCAATATATGGACTTACTCCTTACTAACTTAAAAAAAAACTTGAAAAGCAAAGTTCAAAACACGTATTTTTTTTGAGATAATCAGGAAAATGTAAACATTGGTTGTAAATTTTGTTTTATTAAGGAATTCATCATTTCTKTTGGGATAGCTGTGTTCTGATTATTTTTAAAAATAAATCCACATTTTTTTCCAATGCCATGTTGAGTTTTTATGGGTGGCCTAGTGTGCTTAAAGGGTTCCTTTTCCAGTTTCTGTATGTAGGACTTGCATAGGTAGGACAGAATGTGGAGGAGATAGAAATGAGGCAAGATGGGCCCTGTTTAAGCTGGTTGGTGGGTTAACGGAGTTCATCGTGTTGTCCTCTCTAGTTTTGTTAAATGTTAGAATTTTTTTAAATAATAAAAACAGTCATGCATTTAGTTTGAGTGTTGATGCCAGATCCCTCCCAGACCAATGTTTGGGCATGAGTGTTTTGAAAACAGCTCACCTAGCAAAGCTGCCTCGSAGAACTGTAGTGGTTCTGTTCTATCCAAAAGCATCTGGATGAAGGGTTTACTGGGCTGCATCCTCGGGTAAGAAGGTGGCTTTTTAAAATTTGTACAAATGCACAACGGGCACTGGAGCCATGTGATTCTAGCAGGTAGTGAGGTCTGAGAACCATTGTGTTATACGTTACAAACATCATTTGGACCAAGAATGAATTCAAACAAAACAATCTATACCCAAGTGGGAAGCAGCTAATGATTTAAGCATTGAGCCATGGCCAGGAGTTCTCAAATTTTGCTGCTTACATGAATTTCCTAGAGCTCTTAAACACAACAGTCAGGCTGCATGTCCCTTCCCTCTCTTAA